CAGTGTGCCTGGTTGTGTGAGAGGGATCTGGTCCCTTCTCCATGCCCCGGGTCCCAGGGCAGGCCTGATGCACTGGCATGGGGTGGCTGGTTATAGGAGGGGGGTCCGGTCCCCGGTTCCATACCCCAGGACCCCAGGGTGCTGGCACGGGGTGCCCAGTTGTGGGAGGGGGTCTGGTCCCTTTCTCAATACCCCAGATCCCCAGGCAGGCCCTGAGGTCCTGGCACTGTGTGCTTGGTTGTGGGAGGGGGGTCTGGTCCCCTTCTCCATGCCCCGGGTCCCAGGGCAGGCCTGATGCGCTGGCATGGGGTGGCTGGTTGTAGGAGGGGGGTCCGGTCCCCGGTTCCATACCCCAGGACCCCAGGCAGGCCCCAGGGTGCTGGCACGGGGTGCCCAGTTGTGGGAGGGGGTCTGGTCCCTTTCTCAATACCCCAGATCCCCAGGCAGGCCCTGAGGTCCTGGCACTGTGTGCTTGGTTGTGGGAGGGGGGGTCTGGTCCCCTTCTCCATGCCCCGGGTCCCAGGGCAGGCCCCGAGGTGCTGGTGCAGTGTGCCAGGTTGTGGGAGGGGGGGTCTGGTCCCCTAGTCCCTGGGTGGGCCCTGAGGCTCTGGGACGGTGTGCCTGGATGTGGGAGGGAGGTCCACTCCCCTTCTCCATGCGTCAGGCCCCTGGGCAGGGCCGTGATGGGCTGGTGCAGTATGCCTAGTTGTGGGAGGGGGATCCAGTCCCCTTCTCCATGCCCCGGCTCCCAGTGTGGGCTCCAAGGCACTGGCATGGTGTGCCTGGTTGTGTGAGGGGGATCTGTTCCCTTCTCCATGCCCCAGGTCTCAGGACAGGCCTGATGCGTTGCCATGGGGTGCCTGGTTGTGGGAGGGGTGTCCGGTCCTCTTCTCCATGTGTTGGGTCCTTGGGCAGGCCCCAAGGTGCTGGAGTGGTGTGCCTAGTTGTGGGAGGGAGGTCTGGTCCCCTTCTCCATGCCTCGGGCCCCCAAACTCCAATCCTCTGGTTCCTGGGTGGGGTCCTGAGGTGCTGGTGGTATGAGTGGTTGTGGGCGGGGTTCGGACCCCTGGCTCCATGCCTCATGTCCCTTCATTGGCCCCAAGGCATTGCTGGTGTGCCTGTGCTGGTACTAAGTTTTTGTCCTTTGCTTGCTTGCTTCTAACATGGGGGATCTTCCTGTGGGAACCAGTACTTGAGCTGTGTGGTTGAGGTAAATTGTTGCTTTTCTGCTGTTTCCCTAGGGAAGACTTTTTGTGCAGCTCAGGGTTTAATGGTTGACCTTATAGGTACTTCCAGCTCTCCAGATACTCGGTGCAGATACCTGGGTTGTGTAGAAATCTGATCTGGGCCTGAGTTTTTTCATCAAACTGCACCCCATGCAATTCTGCATTCCCAACCAGTCTCCTCAGAGTGGTCCTGGGCTCACTGGGGGGCAGATTGGCTGTCCTTGCTGTGTCCCAGTGTTCTCCCGGTGGGCCCATCTCCCCTGCCACCCGTGCTCCAAACACTTCCCATGGGACCGGCCCTGCAACAGTCCCTTGCAATGACTCACCGGCCTCTGAATGGCTCCCCTTTTTCAGCTGTTCTGGCTCCTCACTTCTGTGTGGGTTCATGGGAACCCTATTAGTGGTCTTGCTGTCCTGGGGGGCACCAAAGTCCTTTTCTCCCCTCTGGCTTCCAAGTAATTCCATCTAAAGGGCACAGCTGCAGCTTCTGCCAGCTCCTGCTCCATGTGCTGCAGCATTAAAGCAGCCACAGTCCAAAATGCTGAGAGCCGTTTTTTCTTTCTCTTAATCGTGGTTTTTCTTGCCTTCATGAACTCCGTAGGTCTCTCCTCCTCTTCATCTGAGCTCCAGTGGCCCTAGCTTGGCTGATATTACATTTTTATAGTTGTAAATTTGGAGTGACACTGGGGACGATCTAGTCCGCCATCTTGACTGGAACTCTGGTGTATTTCTTATTACTTTTTTCTAGACCTTTTTAAAATTTGTTTTTCTTGTGTGTAATTGAGATAGTAAGATAATACTGCCTGAATGATTTTTTCGTACTACTTCCTACTATTTCGTTTAATATTTTCACATAAACTGTAAAATATATGGGCAGCATACCTTCTCTTGACACTTCAGTGGGAAGCTCTTAGTAATTCATACTGGTATGTGTGAGGAACGAGAATTAGTTAAGTACTTTGGCAGCGTTACAGAGGAGAGCACACAAAATTGTAAGAACTGATAGCTGCTGAGCAATTTAGGTCTCTAAATTCCTTGGAATGTTTCCCAATGAATTGCAATGAAGGTGTACATGATCATATGCTGCAAAATTAAATAGTTCTTGAAAACCAAGCACCTAAAATATTATGAACCATCTGATGCTTTACAAGTTGTTAGATGACTAATTCTTTGGGGTGCTATTTTCCAAATGTATGATCTCATCCCATGTCTCTTTCTCCATTTCTCAGCATTGTCCAGCCACTGTAAACCTGTAAACTCCGTTCTCTAAATGTTCCGAGCACCATCTTTATACTTGCTGCCTGCATCCCCACCCGAATGCTATGATTTTGCTTGGAAAGTTCCACATCTTTCCTCTCTCAGTATAACCGTGCTTCCTCAGAGAGGACCTCCTTTATCTTCCTTTATAAAACCTGCCCAAGCCCCCTGTGCCAGGAAACCTTTGTATGATCCTCCCCCTCTATATCCAGACTCTATTTGCCATTTGACACCCCTTTGTCGGCAGAATTAGGGGGGCTTGAAAATTGTCATAATGCCCTAGAATAGGGTACTTCAAGAGTTGAGCTATTTCATTTCAGAGATGATTTGCATAAGTTACAAAAAGAGAAGGGAATGATTGTTGTATAAGGTTTCTATACCTTTCTCTATGTCATGAGAAATGAAGCATGCTTGCCTACAACTTTGTAATATTTCTAGTAAATAATAGAGGCATTCCCACTCTCAGAGCCCCAAATGAGGAAAGGAAAGGAAAGCTGTAATTGGATGTCATTTCTGCCAGTCATTTGAGGTATAAAAGAGGAAGGCAAGTTGCCCCACCCCCAGGGCACCCATGATCAGGTTGTGTCCCTAGAGCTTCCCGTCTTCCATCCCTGTCCGGCTGGGTGTATGTGAGTGTGTGTTGTGAGAGGGGAAGGGGCTTCATTGTTTTGTGAAAAAAAAATTCAGAAGTAGTAAGCTAAAAACAATTAGTGAAAATATTATGGAATTATTGTTTGTATGTGAGTGTGTGTTGTGAGAGGGGAAGGGGCTTCATTGTTTTGTGAAAAAAAATTCAGAAGTAGTAAGCTAAAAACAATTAGTGAAAATATTATGGAATTATTGTTTAATTTTTAAAATTCTTACTAGACATAGTAGGAACATCACTGAAAAAAGAGCCCTTTTGATTGATGTTCATTTCATGGTGTTCTACATCTTTTACTCCCTGCCTTATAAAAATAGAACTAATTAATTGAATTTCTGGCAAAGAGAAGGGAGTATTCCCTGCCCTTTAGCCAAGAATTCCCCATGTCATCATGAACATGCCCACGCACCCCCCTGCTCCCCAACCCAGTTACTCTCTGTGACATCTTCTGGCATTTTTCCTTCCTATCCCTTAACAAAATTTAGAATTACAGTGTTCATTTATCTCCATGTTTAATGTCTTCTTCTCCCACTAGAATTCAGGCACATGAGATCCAGGTCCGTGTTGGTCTTGTTCACCCCGTTCACCCTGTCTCCTAGGTGCCTACCACAGTTCTTGGCATTTAGTTGGCAATCAAATATACATTGAATGAATAAATAAATGGTTTAAATGAATCAATTATTTTTTGACGTGGATTCTTAAGCTCTGTCCCACTTGTGTTGTTTGAGCAAAAGTGTTGACAAAGTACATGAGTTTCTGACAGGATCTTTGCATTCACTCAGTAAATACTTATTGAGTGTCTGTCACCAGGTCAAGCCCTGGAAATGCCACATGAATAAGATGTCATTGATGCCCTCCAGGACCTCAGAGACTAGCAGAGGGACAGACACGTGTGGCTGTAAATAACTGCAGTTCTTTATGAAAGCGTGTAATAGAGGCATGTAAACATGAGTTGTTGGAGTACAAGAGAGAAGAATTCAGTTCTGCCTGGGGCGTGAAAGTTTTCACAAAGGCAGTGATATTTACGCTGGGCCTTGAAGGAAGAGGGGAAGTTTGGCAGGTTAATTAGCAGGAAAGAGCATGGGGGTCAGACACATGAAAATGAATGGCATGTTTGGGTAGTACTGTGTATTTTGGTGGGGTGGACTGTAAATGCTACACCAAGAAGTTTGGATTTAATCTTAAAAGAGCCAGGGAACCTGCCCAAGCAGAGGAGCCAGGTAAGAAATATATATTAGAGAGTGCAGCAATGTGTGGAGTTTACTGGAGGGGAGCAGATGCTGTGGTTAGAAAGCCAAACCATCCACTGCAGTTGTAGGCATTTTCAGTTACAGACTTAATTTAAAGTTCATAATGTATCTTTCATAGAGATGAATTTTAGAGTTTCATGGAGGTGGCCATTTTGCTAAAAATTGGTAGCTCTTTTAAAATGTGTTTTCCAGATAAAGACTTTTTAATTATTTTTATGTTGAAATTTTTTCGTTTTTTTTTTTTTTTTTTAGGATAAGGACCAAGAACTTTTTGTTTGTTGTTTGCTTGTTTTGGCAGCTGGCCAGCGCAGGTTTCCGAACCCATGACCTTGGTGTTATAAGGCTGTCTTCTAACCCACTGAGCTAACTGGCTAGCCCTTTATGTTGAATTTTAGAAACTTTTGAAAATCATTCTTTTTAGGTTGTACCCAGATAAATATTTACAGTATAAATTACTGCAGAACAAACTTCATGAATCTTCATGTGAAATGTTAATTCAATACTTTGGATTCTTCCAGATGAGTGGGATGCCTAGGTCTTTCCCCCCTGCCCCTTGTTAAAGGTAATGCCTGTTTATCAATACTTTATTCAAAAACAAATAAACCAAAAACCTCTCTCTTGCAGTTCCACGGCAGCCTTCAAATGACTTGTTTGAAATATTCGAAATAGAACGAGGAGTCAGTGCAGATGAGGAAGCAAAGGATGATCCAGGTAGACTCATTCTCAGTACCGTTATCATGACATTTGGTTTTTTCCCTCCATTTCATGAAAATAACTTTTAAATTGTTGATTGTTGGTACCATTTGGAAAAATTATACTTTTTTTTTTTTAACAAATTAATTTCCTCTAGTTAAATCAGTTGAGCAAAGATAATTATAAATCACTATTTCCTTTTTAAAAAACATATCAAAGTATTACTTAAGCTGTGAGAAGGAAATCATATTTCATAAGTGTCGATATAACAAGGTCATAAGTTGGCAACACTTGTATGTTCTATTTTTACGGCTGAGCATACATGCACAATTGTGCTGAGAAAGGATTCATGTAATTTCCTTTTGACTTCATGGAAAGAAGTTCTGGTGGGACAGTTAAGTATGGACAGGAGAAAACAATTGTTGTATAAATACCCCAAATCTATAAATTTGTTTGTTTTTGTTTCTTGAGTTTGTGACCTACTCATCTTTCTGGTCATTTCCTTGTAGGTGTTCTGGTACACAGTTGTAATTTTGACCAAGGACTTTGTGGATGGATCAGGGAAAAAGACAGTGACTTGCACTGGGAACCAATCAGGGACCCAGCAGGTAAAACCATTTCATCTAACTCTTTCTGGTACACATTTCAGTTTGATCGTATCTGAAGTCTTAGTTCCGTTAATCAAGTATAATGTAACACATCTCTGTGTTTACTTAATAAATGGAAAAGAAAGATCATGGTCAATATTTACATTTCATTTTCTTTAAGTGATCTAAATTTGTTAGCTATCAGCTAACATTATATATGGGAGAAAGGTACTTAATTAAAAGACCAGCTAATTTCTTTCAAAAGACTCATTCTAGCATATAATTTTGTAGTGCCCCATTCCCAGGAATAAAAGAAAAAATATAATGGTATATCAGACATGTTAGTAGTCCCTCGTTGTTTTCTCAGTTATGACCTTTCAATTATGTCATTTCTTTTTTTTAATTTGAGAGGTAGTAGAAGACGACCATGAAAACTTCTGTAAAGTTGCAATTATCTCTCTGAAAAAAGTTCACACTAACTTGGATGCTGGAGAAAATAGTTATAAATTACCTCTAGTTACCACTACTTATTCCATAAGAGAAGGTTATTGGAAAGGTGGATTTAGACATGGTCTTTGGAAATTTAACAGAATTTTAAATTGCACAATTTCTATTAATCTAAAGTTTCAGTACTTATAAGATGTTTTGTCTTCTAGTTTCAGGAAGCAAAACTACATATTCTTGAGTTGTTTTTTTTTTTTAGCTCCCCTCAGTAATTAAATCATTTATGGGTGAGGCCAATTTAATGGAATGGTGAGGAGTTTGGTTTCATTTTTCGTTTTTATACTCCTTATTCTAGAGTCCAAGAATAAAAGATACAAGGTGTGAAGAAACAGTGTGTTATTTTAATTATTTGAAAAGGCTAGTTCTTAGATGCCTTGTATACCAGGTATATAGATAGAGCACAAAACACTAGTAAGTTAACTTGAGAGAGCTTATGATCTGTTAAACCAGTTTTTCTCAAATTTCAGAGTTCATACAGATCAGCTGGCGTGCCTTGTTAAAATGCAGATTTTTATGAATTTCTAACACGCTCCCTGGGGATACCTGTGGTGCTTGGTCCTCAGTGTACATTTTGAGTAGCAAGGTATAAAAAAATTAGTCCACTAATGTATTCATTAGATCCCACAAGATTGAAATATAACAGAGATATGTAAAAATAAAAATTTGAGGAAAACTTTTAAACATATGAATATTCAATAAATTCAAATCGGGTATTAGGTTTCATTTAGTTAGAAAACATCGCTGAGTGCCTTACATGCAGTACTGTCACACTCATTTTCAGTCCCATTCTGGAAGTACTCTCTCATTTAAGGTTAACTCTGAGCAGGACAGTGTTATTGATGTCACAGGCATCTGTGAATGAGAAAGAAACCAGCCTATATGTAATCCTGGCTATAGTCCTACCTCATTCATCTCTCATTAATTTTATTTAATCCTCTTATTCACCCTGTGAAGAAGGTGACACTGTCTTTATTTCACAAAGGCAATATTGATGCCCAGAGAGGTGACATAAGTTTCCTATGGCCACAGAGCTAGAGCTAGACTGTAGTGTCACCAGGTATCACTTCGTGTCCAGGCCTCTCTGTACTACTCATGTACCCTCCTAGGCAATTCAATGCCTGGACCATCTGCAGCATTAATCTGGGTTTTTCATCATGCCAGTCTGGCCCCGCTAGTAATGCTTGTGGTCGTGTGCAGGGTCTGATTAGCAGATCGCAGGCCTATAGACCTGACTGGCCACTGGCCTGGAGTAGTTTGCTACAGAAGGAAGGATGTTTGACAGTCATGTATGACAGAATGCTGAATAATGTTTATGGCCAAAATAAATAACTCTTTCAAGTAAGATAGTAATTCATGCTAAACTCAGAAAAATTAATTGAACTTCTATGTAGGCAGTCTATGTAGAGAATCAATGTAAAATACTTAATTTTTGGAATTTAAACACTGTACTTTAGAACCAATTTAGTACTTTTCAACATTTTTTATTATTCATCACAGTTGTAAATGTTTAAATTTGTTGCAAACCGAAATTCCCCTTGCCCTCTGGTTGAAAATAAGAATGGTAGACAAAAAAAATGTTGAAATGGCCATTGGGCTGTGTGAGTACAGAACAAATTGAAAGGAGGTGGCGGCTGCTTAGGTGTTGGGATAACTCCAGATGATTGGGATGCTTTTCTAGAGTTAGTTTAGGTTTCTACCAACAACTTGGGTAAATTGGATATTGAACTTAGATACTGAAGACCAACTAACCAAATTGTGGTTGACTCAGAGCTGGTGAGGAAAGTGACTGTTGTGTGCTGACACAACCAGCATCCAAAAATTAGATTAGTGGGTCACGGTTAAGTGGGTAAAATCTATTGGGGATGAATGCAAGGTACGGCTCCCAGCCCAGAAACCAACCATACAGCTGTGGGAGGGGGAAGATGGGACTTAGCACTACACGTGAACAACTTTAGAGTTTTAGTGGATGATGGAATCAATATGAGTGAACCCTATGATGCTCCTATCAAACATATGGGCCATTTCCATAGAAATATGGTATTTTTCCAGAATGGAAAATCCACTTTGGTTAAGTGGTTAATTCAATTTTGAGGGTTCTTTCAGGTTTGAGAATAGATTTAATTGTTTGTCACTCAGAATAGAATGACCTGGCTGGAATGGTATCTCAAAGCCTGTGAAAAACAGGTGAAGAAACCAGAATATTAAGCCTAGAGAAGGAATAATGGAGCAGGTTTGCTTTTCAGATTGACCTAGGGTTAGAGTTGCTCTCTGTGACTACAAGGAGATGAGAAGTAGGATCAATGGGTGAAAACTACTTAATTCTGGTTCACTCTCAGAAAGAGCTTTTGAATGGTCAGAGGTGTCCAAAAAGAGAACGGGCTGATGTGGAGGGAGTGAGCTTTTTGTTGAAGTCATTTGACTGGGTGACATGTGGCTATGTGTTGTTAAAGGGTTTTGAGTATCAGATAAGGATTGGTTTAGAAAATCTCTTACACCAGCTCTGAGAGCCTCTGATTCAGAATAGAATGTCCCTAGTAATCCCACGGAAATCAGTGAGCAGGGTTGTAGCCTGGAAAAAAGGATGCGAAGACCAAAAAGAATGGCAGGGTGTTGGATGAAAGGGTTAGGTGTGTATGGCATGTCAGGATGGAAGTGCAGAATATATTTTTAGAATATGTTGGAGAATTCTAACCCATATTCTGACAGAAAAATACTAACAAAGCTTACCTTTTCATGCCCATTTTTCTTCTAGGAAGTTCAGGTGGAGTTCTGTGTTTAAATGTGTATGTATCACATGAGAAGGCCAGAGAATATAAGTAATTGAATAAATAATTTCTTTTCATTATTCTAACTACCAAGCTAATTGTTTTACTTGTTTCTATCCAGAATATACCATTTGTAAGAGAATATATATTTGGAGTTTCAGTTATGACTGATTTTAATAATGTATAATTCTTATCCAAGAGCCGTGCTCTTATACTAACGTTTCTAAGAAAACACTTGATTATATAAACTTACAACCTTGAGAAATAGCTGCAAAATAAGTACATTTGCTAACAGCTCTTTCTGGTGCTACTAGGTTTTGTTTATCACATTTAGTCTTGAGCTTAATTATGAGATGTGAAATTAATACATTCCTCTAAGAAACAGAAAATTGTGCTGCTGACAGATGTGATGTGCTGTAGGCATGTAGCTGTGGCCCTGAGGACACACCGTTCTCCTGTAGATGTCAAGGCTAGACCTGGGCCACCTTTCTTGGAACTGTGATCTCTGGAGAATGAAGATAAAAGGGAACTGACTCAGCACTCTGTCTGCTGATCGCTACAAGGGATTTATTTAAATATGTAACAATTATGCCAGCGTGTACATACAAGTATGTCTATTGCAGCATTAAAAACATTATTTTGAAATACATATAAATGGAAAAACAATGAAAATGAAAGCTCTCTACCATCCCTGGCTTCCATTCACCCTCCCCAGATGTACCCAGTTTCTTGGTTATTTTTCCAGAGATACATTTTTGCACACAACGGCACCCTCTTCTGTACCTTGCTTTTGACAATTAATGATATTATCTTGGAGTTAACAAGAAAAACATGGACTTTGAAGCCAGAATGCTTGGTCTGAAACCCAACACCAACACTTACTAGCTTTGACCTTGAGTAGGTTAAACACAGATAATCAATCTACCTATTAAACATATATGTGAAGCATTTCAAGCAGTGCCTGACCGAGCATTACCACTAAAATGGAACTAGCCATTATTGCTGAAGATTGTCCTGTATCAGGAAGAGCAGAACTGCAGTTACTAAAGGAGAGAAAGACAAAGGGGGGTAGAGAGGAGCTAAGGACACAGAAAAGCTAGATAGGAAATATAAGTTCTAGTGGTATGGAATTAAGCTAGGCATCTATAATTAACAATAATTTACTGCGTGTTATCAAATGGCTAGAAGAGAGGAGATCAAATGTCCTCATCACAAAGAAATGATTAAGTTCTCTAGTGGTATGGAATTAAGCTAGGCATCTATAATTAACAATAATTTACTGCATGTTATCAAATGGCTAGAAGAGAGGAGATCAAATGTCCTCATCACAAAGAAATGATTAAGTTTTGCAACGATGAATACTCTAATTACCCTGGTTTGATCATCACACATTATGTACATGTATTAAAATATAATTCTGTGCCCCACAAATATGTATAGTCAATACATTTTCATTAAAAAGAAAAAAAAAGAAGATTGTCCTATTTCAGTACATGCAGAGCACCTTCATCCTTATTAATGGCTAATCGTTACGCATTACTCATCAGATGTACCATAGTGTAATTAACCAGTCTTCTACTGAGGAACATTTGTTTCCAGCCTTTTGGTAGTTTAGACAATTCTGCAGTGACTAACCCTGTATATATATCATTTCATATATATTTGAATATATCTGTAGAATAGAATCCTAGATGTGGAATTGCTGGGTCAAAAGAGAATTTGCATTTTTGAATTTTGATAAATCTTACTACATTGCCCTTCATGGGGTTGTAACAATTTACACTCCCACCAGCAATATTAGAGAACCATCCCCAACATGTTATAAAACTATTTTTAATCTTTGCCAAGCTAAACAGTGAAAAGACAATTCATTTTAATTTTAAGTTGCATTTCTTTTATTGTGAAAAGTTATATAGTTATATCTTCTATATAGTTAATGTATTTTATGTATATTTAAAAGTCATTTTTTCTGTGATGCCCTTTTTTGTTCTTTTGTGTTCTTTTTATTATGGACTTATAAAAGTTATTTATATAAAAAGGAAAATTATCTTTTTTATGTGGTGCAAATATTTATTATGTTTTTTGTTTGATTATTTTATGGTATTTTTCATCTTTAAAAAGTGAAAATTTGGGAACAAATGTTTTTTAATAAGAAATTGGCTAATGATTAATGGCATACTTGCAGCTATGAAAAGTGTGTGTATTTGCTGACATAGAAAAATGGCTGTGATATATTTAATGAAAAAAGCAAGATAGAACACTGCAAATGTAGTATTACTTTTTCTTTTTAAAAATGCTCATATTTGTGTGTATTTGTGTGCATGTATATATATAGGATAAATTCAGAAGTCAAAATGTTAGTAATTATCTCTGGGTTTTAGGATTATAGTTTATTTAAATTTTCTTTGTGCGTTTCTATTTTACATTTCTCTCTCTCCCCTCAGCCACC